CTCCATTTCAAAGGGTGAGACCTCTTCATTCAGGGCAGGCCAGGATCCCACTGCCCAGTACCTCAGGGACAAGGCTGAGGTCCAGTTCCATGGGGGTGACAATGCCATCCAAGTGGGCCTGAAGGGCATAGCATCGAATCAAAAAGAATTCTAGAACCTTAAGACCAAATGGGATTTGCCTTGCCAGGTTTGGGGACTTGATTGAAATTTGTCATCCCTTTTTTCTTTCTTGTTTCTCCTTTCTGAGATGGAATGTCTTTCCTACGCCCGTCCCATCACTGTGTTTTAGAAGTGCATATTGTCTGATTTTACCGGTCCACAGCTGGAGAGGAATTTTGCCTCAGGGTGAATGGTACTAAAAGTTTCAGCCATACCTGATTTATGCTTAAATTAGGTTTTGGATTTTGGACTCTCGAGTTGATACTTAAACAAGTTAAGACTTTTAGTGTTGTTTGGCTGGAATGGAATATATCTGCATGTGACAAGAACATGGATTCTGGCAGGCCATGAACAATATGTTATAGATTGAATGCATGTGCTCCCCACTTTAAAATTCACATGTTGAAGCCCTAACCCCCAGTGTGGTTATATTTGGAGTAAGACAGTAATTAAGATTAAATTAGGTAATAAGGGTTGGGGCCCTGATCTGACAAGACTGCTGTCCTTATAAGAAGTGACACCAGGGCTGGGCGTGGTGGCTCACACCTGTAATCCAAGCACTTTGGAGGCCAAGGCAGGCGGATCACCTGAGGTCGGGAGTTCAAGACCAGTCTGACCAACATGGTGAAACCCTGTCTTAAAAAAATAAAAAATAAAAAAAAATAAGTGACACCCGGCTGGGCACAATGGCTCATGCCTGTAACCCCAGCACTTTGGGAGGCCGAGGTGGGTGGATCACCTGAGGTCGGGAGTTTGAGACCAGCCTGATCCACATGGAGAAACCCCATCTCTACTAAAAATACAAAATTAGCCAGGTGTGGTGGTGCATGAATGTAATCCCAGCTACTTGGGAGGCAGAGGCAGGAGAATCGCTTGAACCTGGAAGGTGGAGGCTCCAGTGAGCCGAGATTGAGCTATCGCACTCTAGCCTGGGAAACAAGGGCAAAACTCCGTCTCAAAAAA